AATACGTTATCTCTCCACCCCACGTGAGGCTCAAACTCATGACCCCAAGATCAAGAACCTCCTTGACTGAGCCAGCCAGGCGCCCCAGGGATGCTATTTTCAATCATAGGGAATAAAATCTGTAAGGTTGCAAAGGAAACCAATTATCTGGAAATACACTTACCAAAGGTTAGAAACAATCTGTGGCAGTAATGCGTGTGTTTCATTATTAACCTATCAAATACATCTGAGCAGCGGGCCTAAGAACTACCATCATTTTGAAGAAGTGAGAAGTGTAAATAACATTTTGACATAGATCTACAGCAGCTCTAATGGGTGATGAAAACATCTGCGTTTTCTCAGGCAAGAAATTCACAAGTCCTGCTAGCATTGTTTTTATTTGTTGTCTGCCTTTTATAATAGAAGGAAATGCCAGAATTTCAGTTAGCGGTTAGTTGGAAGAAGCACGCACTGTACGTTTTCCTCATCCAAGATCAAGGGCCCTGCATTCTTTCTCCGGTTAAGAGCCCCTGTCTTGCTAAGGGGGCTAAGCTAAGCAGGGAAAAATGGGGGGGGGGGAGTTCTGCACACTTTCATTACTTTTTTGTGGGACAGATAATTTGGGCTTATAATAAAATCCAATTAAATTTCAGTCCCCAGTGAAATTCGATTATAATTTCCTTTTGATTTTTTGGAATATAAAGGGGCAAGATCCACCCCCCACAAACCTATTTGTGGAGAACTGTATTCCAGAGAGGACTTAAATAAAAAGCCTCTCAGGCGGAAGTTTTTTGTAAGATATTCATTTCTCCCCTTGTGGTTACATGGATGCTGTCTTAGGAAAAATTCTAGATTGCAAAGATGGTCATAAGGTCGTATGTATTTCCACGATGAGGAAAATGTATTACATCAACATGGTAGAGCGTTTAGGGTCCCTTTGAGGGGGAATTTTCTTGAGGAACCACCAAAGAGAGCCCCAGGGAAGAAGGGGCCTTCAAGGGCTAGAGAGGTAGGGGAGGTTTCTAGAAGCTTCCTGGAACTCAGATGAAGGTTCAAAGGCCGAGGGCTGGGTTAGGTAAGAGATGGGAGGTGTGTTTGTTAGTGGGAGTGGTGAGGTCCCGTAGGGTTGGCCTGAGAGGAGGTGTGAGGGGAGCTGAGCCTAAGCAGGGGGTTGGGGGTAGCCGTGAGGAACCTTCTCTGCCATGTTGAGCTTGTGGGATATTATTAGCAGAAGGAAGTCACTGAGGTCTTCTAATAGGAATGAGATAAAGAAATATCTGATTTAGGAATATTAACACAACCACAATGGTTTGGATGCATTTGAGGGTGGGAAGAAAACACAGATAATACTTTTAGGATCAGATGGCAAGACTGGATGCAGAAAATTCTACCGACTTTCCCTAGACTATCTTCTCCCATCATGGCTTAAGGAGAGGATTCACCTGTGGGGCTCATTAATTATACAGATTACCAAGATTCTCCTCTGCACATTATAACCCCAGTAGGCCTGGAATTTGATAGGGTAACTGGGCCCTAGAGGTGACTCGGGGGTTCCCAAACAGACCAAGTTTGGCTACTCTCCGCTGACCAAGTACAAAGGGAGAGAGACGGGTGGTGGTCCAACAAGAAAGGATTTATTTCCGTGAGGCAAACACTGGGAAGACAGTGGATGAACATCTCAAAGCCCATCTCCAAAGTGCTAGAGACACTTTTAGTTTTATAGGAGGAAAATGTGGGACAAAGGTTAGTGGGTAAGTGCACGTGGGCAGCAGAGGTCAAGTGTATCATTCATTGTCTTGGGGTCAGTCACAGGGTCTTCCTGGCTAAGGGGGGGGGTAGTTTTGTTGCCATCAGGGGGCGCCTTGCCCACCAGTTCTTTTGCCTGAGTTAAGAGTTAAGCTAGAAAAAAGAGCTTAATTAGGAAGTCAAGACAGAGGTCACATTGGAGACAATTTGAAGTCCTCTTCAACAGGGGATTTCCAATTCTTCAAACAGCTCCCTATGATTTTATCTCTAGACACATTGGAAAATGCTCCCCAAGAATGTTTGGCTGATCAGATGTGAAATGGCACGGGCGGTCATCAAAGTCACAACTGCACCAGACAAAGTTAAACTTTTGTCAAAGAAGACTCTATTCAAGGCTGTGGTGATGGGGCGTGGGGGGACCGGAAGTCTGTGTGAACTCAGTGTGAAACAAAATAAGGGAGGAAAATGCTGGGGGACTTGAGGGAGGTAGATCATGGGACGTGTGGAGCACATGGAGTTGTTCCCGAGTTTGCAAATGTTTTTCTCTGTGATTAAGCCACCTGTGTGTGCTAATTGGCACCCACCAATTAGCAAGTTAGGCTTCTGCCTTTCCCACAGAGACTGGTGAATGTAGGCGCCATCTTTCTGACGGATTACATTTGAAAGGGACGCCTCCTCATCTTTGAGGAAGACATTCCTGGGTTGTAAACCTGCCAAGAGGCTCAGAGAAGATTTACATTTCAATGGGACAGAGAAAGAATTCTCAGGGATGAGTCTTCTCAAGTAAAAGCTCTAAGGAAAAGGAGGTCAGGGCCAAGAGTCAGGAAGAGAAGCCTGGGCTGGGGTTTTGTTGAGCTGACAGGAACATTAAGGCTGTCCTTGTCAAGGGTAAGTAATATTAATTCTACTATCCTATCTGGAGGGTGGATTTTGCCCCATACAGAAGAAAAGGAAAATCAATGTTAGGGATGCTAGGAAAGAAAAATCAGCTTCCTTTTCTTCTTCTTCTTTTTAAATTAACATACAATGTATTATTTGTTTCAGGGGTACAGGTCTGAGATTCATCAGGCTTACACAATTCACAGTGCTCACCATAGCACATACCCTCCCCAGTGTCCATCACCCAGCCACTCCATCCCTCCCACACCCCTCCCCTCCAGCAACCCTCAGTTTGTTCCCTGAGATTAAGAGTCTCTTATGGTTTGTCTCCCTCTCTTGTCTCCCTCTCTGGTTTTGTCTTATTTCATTCTTCCCTCCCTCCCCTATGATCCTCTGTCTTGCTTCTCAAGTTTGCCATATCCTTGAGATCATATGATAATTGTCTTTCTCTGACTGACTTATTTTGCTGAGCATAATATCCTCTAGTTCCATGTATGTCATTGCAAATGGCAAGATTTTATTTTTTGATGGCTGCATAGTATTCCATTGTGTGTGTGTGTGTGTATACATGTGTGTGTGTGTGTGTGTATATATACATATATATGTCTGTATATATATATGTGTGTGTGTGTATATATATATATATATATAACTTCTTCTTTATCCATTCATCTGTTGATGGACATCTAGGTTCTTTCTATAGTTTGGCTATTGTGGACATTGCTGCTATAAACATTCGGGTGCACTGCCCCTTCAGATCACTACACTTGTATCTTTAGGGTAAATATCCAGTAGTGTGATTGCTGGGTCATAGGGTAGCTCCATTTTCAACTCTCTGAGGAACCTCCATGCTGTTTTCCAGAGTGGTTGCACCAGCTTGCATTCCCCTCAACAGTGTAGGAGGGTTCCCCTTTCTCCGCATCCTCGCCAGCATCTGTCATTTCCTGACTTGTTAATTTTAGCCAGAAAAATCAGCTTCTTGACCTAATATTGGAAACTGGAGAGTGGGCGGTCAATGTCTACTGACCCAAACCTGGGAGTACAGAGAAGGAACGTCAAGCTGACAGGCAAGTGGGGCACCATATGACCCAGGCCTCCTTGGTAAATCACAACTCAGGCTCCTTTGTTAGAAACAGTGCCCTGAGGACGGCACCAGTAGTGGATATGGGAGAAGAATATCAGAGGGCTTGTGGGTCTTGGTCCTTTCTGAGAGAGCACTGCAGAGCAGCCTGGGCTGTGAATTTGAGATTAGCATCCTGTGCTGACTTCACCTGAGTCACACACACGTCTTGGTATCCTGTGTGTACAACAAAGTAAATTCCAGGCGTGTCCGCAGCTGGGTTTTATGGAAAATTGATGCCTTCCCTTGAGCTCCCATTGTACTAGAAATTTGTCAGAAAATGTGAGGGAGGAGGTCAGGGATTTTTGAGACCCCCTGGGGAACTCTCTTTGCAAAAGGGTGACACTGAAACCACAGGAGTGGATAAGATTTTCACAGTGTTACCGGGAATGTAGGACATCAGTGCGTCTTCCTTTTTTTTTTTTTTTTTTAAAGATTTTTTATTTATTTATTTGACAGAGAGATCACAAGCAGGCAGAGAGGCAGGCAGAGAGAGAGGAGGAAGCAGGCTCCCTGCTGAGCAGAGAGCTCTATTCGGGGCTCGATCCCAGGACTCTGAGATCATGACCTGAGCCGAAGGCAGCGGCTTAACCCACTGAGCCACCCAGGTGCCCCAGCGTCTTCCTTTTTTTCAAGGGACTGAGCATAACGGGGAAAGAATGGAGGTCTAAGAATTCATACTCCTCTTCAAGAGAAGTGGATGGTCCCTGTGTTGCCTGTTTCAGCAAGGTCTTCGATGCCAAGAACTGTAAAAGGTACATTTGATTTGCTCGTGGGACACCCCTCTGAAGAGAAGAATGTCAGTCAAGTGGTTGTCTGGAGCAGGGCGGGGGTGAGGGGGAGTGGGGGATGCCAGATCTAAGAGTGAGTGGCAAAAATGCAACCAGGAGGGGCACCTGGGTGGCTCAGTGGGTTAAAGCCTCTGCCTTTGGCTCAGGTCATGGTCCCAGTGTCCTGGGATCGAGCCCCACATTGGGCTCTGTGCTCTGCAAGGAGCCTGCTTCCACCTCTCTCTCTATCTGTCTGCCTTTCTGCCTACTTGTGATCTCTGTCTGTCAAATAAATAAATAAAATCTTTAAAAAAAAAAAAAAAAAAAAAAAGCAACCAGGAGGGCTGATGGCTTTTTCAGGAAACCTGGCTTTGCAAGAAAGAAAGCTACAGGGAAAGAGCCAGAAAGTTATAGGATGAAGTTACTGCGGACATATGATATTAATATGACCTACTTCCCCTCTACCCGACCCGCCCCCTCTGGTTAATTTTTTTCAGTGAACAGAAATGAATGAACAATCAGACAAAAGCAGTTCTACTCACGAGGGACACACAGGTCAAAGTTCTCCTGAGAAAAACTGTCAGATTGGACAAAAGCAACTGGTATGGCAAATGACTATTGGGGGTTCATGGTATTTGGAGAGGGCTCAACTTGGGGATCTCTGAGGTGAGCCTGGACTTGGGTGGAATGTGCATCCTCTCAGGATTTCACGGGGAAGGTTCTCTGCTGCTCTGTGATGATGGGGCTCCCCCCCCCCAAACTTTTCACTCTGCCCCTGGCAGGGCTGGTCACACTTCACACATCTTCTCTCTGTCACTCACCTCCCTTGATTTTATAGCCCAGTGTTCTGTGCAGTAAAATCCTGCCCCTGGAGAAGAATATTTGTGGAGAATATAGTGTTTTTATAGGGTCCAGTGTTTTTATTTTTTTTTTAAGCCTAACTTTTTTCCCCTGTGTTTTTAAAGATTTTATTTACTTATTTATTTATTTGAAGGAGAGAGAGCATGAGCTTGAGCAGGGGGGGAGGAGCAGAGGCAGAGGGAGAAGCAGACTCCCTACTGAGCAGGGAGCCCCATACAGGACTCCATCCCAGGACTCTGAGATCATGGCCTGAGCCAAAGGCAGGCACTCAACTGACTGAGCCACGCAGGCGCCCTGTGATTCTAAATCTTTGCATATATTAATCCACCAAATCCTTCTCCCAAGATAATCCTGTTACCCCATTTTGCAAAAAGGGACACTAAGTCTCAGAGAAGTAGGAGCTTGCTCAAGGCCCACCACTAGCAAGTGGCAGAGCCAAGATCTGGACACAGAGAGGCTTACCCTTGTGTCTCTGTTCCTGAACTTTTGCCATCGGAACTGAGAATGGTAATAGACGGTACAAAGTTGAATTGTCTCGTAAGATTAAGTTTATTAACGCCCCCCCCCCCCACACACACACCAAGATGAAAATTTAAAGAAATGTATTTATATTATTTTGGACAGCCTGGACTATTATTAAGCTAAATAAACAGCATATGAGGCTGAGATTCTGTTACTAATCTGTTACACTGAAATTCACACTTTGAAAGTTTCCCTTTTGTTTCCAGGTGAAGTATTTCATTTGTACGTCAGCCTGTGTGTTAGGGGGCCCTTCAGATTATATTCTTCTAAAATCTTTCAGAAGAACCTTCCCTTCCCTCCTGATACATGTGCTACAGTTTTAAAATAAGTTATCAGGGTTTATTGAAGCATCTTTGTTGCTTGTCTTCTCCATTAAGCTCCCTTTCTTTTCCAATGGCAAATGTCTCCAGGTCAAGTCTTTTGAAATGTTCCACTAACGCTCTTGAAAGCCATTCTGGGAAAATTCTCCTTTTCAAATCTGGCTTTTACTGAGAGTAGATCTTTCAGGTAGCTGCAAAGCCCTGATGGGGTCTACACGCCCAAGGGCGGGATTGTTCTGAAACAGAATCTCAGAACACCCAAGGCAGGGGCAGGGGGAGAGGGCTGTGTGCCCCCTGGGTTCTCACTGAGCCCTGAGACACTTCAGACACTCCACCTGAGTCTGTCCAGCCAACAGCTGCAGAAAGGTTTTACTCCTTTGTTCTTGTCCTCCATAAACGTTAATTGGGACTTTCATCCCCATTAGATTTCAGAAGCCAGCTGGTATTTTGCAAGTATAAAGGGAATTCTGTTCCAGCTTGGTTTTTTTCTTTTTTTTTTAAGACTTTATTTATTTATTTGACAGACAGAGATCACAAGTAGGCAGAGAGGCAGCCAGAGAGAGAGGGGGAAGCAGGCTCCCTGCTGAGCAGAGAGGCCGATGCAGGGCTTGATCCCAGGACCCTGGGATCATGACCTGAGATGAAGGCAGAGGCCTTAACCCACTGAGCCACCCAGGTGCCCCTGCTTGGTTGTTTTTAATATTGTATGTGTATATTTGTATATATTATATATTTATATTTTTAAGCGTAAATATATATTTATATGTATTTATTTTAAAGTAGGCCCCATGCCCAGAATGAAGCCCAACATGGGGCTTGAACTTGCAACCTTGACATCAATACCCAAGCTGAGGGGCACCTGGGTGGCACAGACGGTTAAGCATCCAACTCTTGATCTCAGCTCAGGTCACGATCTCGGTGGTGACACTGAGCCCTGCATCGGGCTCTCTGCTCAGCAGGGAGCCTGCTTCCCTTCCTCTCTCTCTCTGCCTGCCTCTCTGCCTGCTTGTGATCTCTGTCTGTCAAATAAATAAATAAAATCTTAAAAAAAAAAAAAAAAGACTGTCTCTTCCTCTCACTCTGCCCCTCCCTGTCTCTAAAATAAATAAATAAAACTTAAAAACAACAACAACAACAATCCAGAAAGTCCCAAGCTAAGATCAAGAGTCAGAGGCTCACTGACTGAGCTACTCAGGTACCCTTATATATATATTTATTATATAAATTTTTTACCATGGATTTCTTTATTTAGAATCACCTAACTTGAGGAAATTCACAACATCTTTTGAAAATCAAATTAAGCTGTTTATTTCTGTAGGTAAAACATCTGTACTTCCATGACATTATGGCAAAAGTTATGGAACGTTTACTTTGATACAACATAAAACAAAATTATCCTGTTCTTACTCCAAATACGTTGTTTGTTTCATAGCAACAGATAGAGCGGCAGTTAAAATGCTTGGCGTTTCAAAACCCCGGACCACAGGTAGCCGACTTTAATCCTGAAACGAGGCAGCAGAAAAAGAAAGCTCGGATGTCAAAGATGAATGAGTATTTTTCTGTAAAATACAAGTAAGATTCATGATTTATTATATTTGATTTCTGGGATTACAAAATGCATAAGTTCTTGGCAAAGGAAGAGTTGCCCCTTTTTTATGTCTTAAAAATATCTTTTCTAAAGTACAGTATCGTCCCATGTGTTTGGAAGTTAGCAACTTCAAGAAATAGACAATAATCCCAAGTTGGGAATCAATTTTTTTTAAAGGCTTCAGAAGCTCTTTGGTTAGAGTAATAGCTTCAGTAAGAAAGATGATTAAAATAAAGAAAGGTGTTCTCACTCTAAAGAGAAATAATATAACTGTGGGAATGGATTCAGGTATCAAATATGTACAGATAGGTCATAAGTGCAATGATAACTGATGTAGAAAAGATGTTGGGGTTTGGAGCCAATGGCCAAGAAAGAATTCTTGAGATGTCTTTGGTGCACAAAGTTGGTTTTATGAAAGAAAGCACAGGAACAGGATCTGTGGGCAGAAAGAACTATACTGTGGTCATTAGGAGAGGTCCATTATAAAAAAAAAAAAAAAAAAAGGAGAGGTCCATTATATACTTTCAAGTTGGGGGGGGTTAGGGATAGAGTGAGTCTCTAAGGAATTTTGGAAGCAAGGTATTCAGGACTTGAGGGAGCTAGCTATTGTTGGGATAAGGTCATTTATTACCATCTAATAAAACCTTAGTCATGAGACCTTCAGATGTCTGTCGGTGGGTCATACGCTTTGGGGGTGACCGCCAACGTATCTTAAGTGGTTGAGATAAAGGAAGTTTCCAAAGGAATCTTTATATGTGAAAATAGACATACAGGGTCCTGGGGATTGGGCAAAGATTGCCTTTTGCCCTTAGCAAAGTATCAACATCGAGGCAGCTGGGTCACTAGAGGAAGGTCACTCTGCCTGTTTCAAGGACTTGTCAATGGGCTGTAGGCAGTAAGGAAATTTAATAATTTTCTTTTGCCTTTGTTTCCCACATCCGTTGCTGGCACATCCCAAGTATAAGCAACCCATGAAGGAGAAGGCTGATGAATTTGACACAATGAAAATTAAGAATTTATGCCCATCTCTTGATGATCAAGATGGGCATAAATTTCATTAAAAACAATCAAAGACAACCACAAGACAGGAGAAGCTATTTATAATTTGAAAGATCAGTGTCCAAAATATACACAAGTCAACAAGAAAAAGATAAGCATTCAAAGAAAAAAGTGAACCACTCAATGAATAGGCATTTCGTAGAAAAGGCTAATAAACATTCGAATACAGCATCTCATCAGTATGATGAGAGGCAGAAAGACAGCATTTAGTCTGATGATATCAATGTTGATGAAGCCACTGGACATGGGTTGAGCGTAATATGGTACAACCACTCTAAAAAGCCTGGTATTACCTGTATTCCTTAGGACCTAACATCTTCACTCCTGGATATGTATCCCAGAAAAACTCCTGTAGAGGTACACCAGAAGACACATTCAAAAGTCTCATAGCATTGCTATGATAGTAAAGAAAATAAGATAGTTAAAATTAAAATGCCCATCCACAATGGAAAAAATGAGAAACTTGTATATTCTTACAGCAGAATGCATATAGAAGTGAAAATATTTCAGTAACAGCTAAAAGTACCGTCATGGTTGAATCACAGATCATGATGTAGGGAAATGCAGTGTGCTTGGGAATTCACACAAATGTAGCTAGGACCGGGAGGTGAATTTTTTTTTTTTTTAACACCCAACATGGGGCTTGAACTCACAACTCTAAGCCCCGGGACCCTGAGATCAAGAGTTGTGTGCTCTACCGACTGAACCAGCTAGGGCCCGGAAGGAGATGGTTTTTATAAGAAAAAGCTGTGGTTCCTCTTGGAAGGCAGGGTTGAGGGATGCAGTGGGCAGGGCACCCAACTTTTATCAAGTTGGGTGGTGAGAATGTGGAGGTTGGCTTTATTCTTCTTTTTCTGTACATGTACATTTTGCACGCTTTTGTGTGTATGATAATTCAGAATTTTATAAAAGATGGCCTAAGGTGGGCAGGAAACGATAAAATTTGCCTCTTGGTGTCTGAGTTAAGGCGAGGGAATATTTGGGTTAAGACAAAGGGACAAGGACAAAATCTGATGGGGCAATTTCATGGCTTCAAGACTATGATTTCCATTGTGGATTTTAAGTCTCTTGTCTGTGGACACCTGCATTTCCTGGTGGGCTTGGGAGGGAGTGGGGAGCCCTCTTTCCACAGATGAAATGCATCAAATATAAATCCTGCCCAAGTGAGAAAGTCAGGCAGCAAGTTTCCATACGGTTCCTCAGCCCGCCCTGCTCTGTGAGGAGAGGGAAGGAGAGGGAACAGCGTTACTTAAACTGAACTGGGAGGAGATGTGAACACCTGTTTCAAGATGAAGGGTGGAGAAGTTCATAATCTCACCACACCAGCTGAAGGCCACCCCCCCCCCTTTTTTTAACTCCCAGTTGTTAATAAAGGATACAAACTGTCTAGAGACGCTTTGGTCCTCCTCAGACTTTCAAGCCACTCAATTCTGAAAGGTTTATTTCAAAAGGGCCCGGATGTGAGAGGGTGGTAGAATTCTTGACAGCTTTCGTCTCCCGGCCACGTTGTAGGGGCTGACACAGAAAGTGTGGGGACTCAAGTGGGGTGTAAGCTCTGGTGTGTCCCTCTGGTACAGAACTTCTTGCCTTCACCCAGAGCTTCTGAGGGAGTCCGCCATGTTGGTCACCTGCCCTGTCGCTCCACACTGGGTAACAAACAGAATCAGAAAGGCGCAGAAGAAGCATGGCACCTGGAGACTCTTACCAAAGGAGTGTGTGTGTCTCTGTGTGTGTGTGTGTTCTTCTGTTAATGATGATAGCATAATCATGGACCTTTCTGATGTTTATCTTGAGTCGTTAAAAACCATAATCGTGTTCACTAGAGTGCTTTTCTGTAGAAAGAGAAAAGAGTGTAATTTATCAGGGAAAACCCCATCAAGAATGATTATATTTATAAAGAAAAATGGGGGGAGGGCCGGAATTTATAGGAAGAAGCTTTTATTCAGCTCTTCTTTATTCAGCTCTTCTTTTTGATTGGTTTCAATAGAATATCACATTCCAGCATGCTGGCAAAACAAAGGGTCCCATCAGTGACTAGCCCAGCTGTGTTGGAAAGTGTGGCACGTGGGCTGAGTTTCCCAGGACAAGGCTGCCATCTACTATTGGGAAGCGTGGCTGGGTAGTCCTTCGGGTGCTGGTTCCTCGGAATAAAGGGATCGGATTTATGGAGGAGGCTGGCAAATGGTTCATTCCCCCCGATGGGGACACTAGTACTGTCTTCTGTTCTCTCGGCAGAGTTAGGAAGAAGTATGACAAGAGTGGTAGGCTAATCTGTAATGACGCTGATCTGTGTGACTGCCTGGAGAAGAACTGTCTGGGGTGCTTCTACCCTTGCCCCAAGTGCAACTCCAACAAGTGCGGGCCCGAGTGCCGTTGCAACCGACGCTGGGTCTACGATGCCATTGTCACCGAATCCGGGGAGGTCATCAGCTCGCTGCCCTATCCGGTCCCTGACTAGGAGCTGTTGCACGTGGGCTGGTTTGGTTCTCCTTCCTGACAGCCAAGCCATCCTCTTTCTCCTGGGGGGTTAGATTTTAGGGCGTAGGGAAGATCCTGGGAAAGCATACTGAAGACTTATGTTCTCTGAAGCTGTTAGAACAATGTAGCAGGGGCAGTCACTCTGTCCCGTCTCCTGTGTCATCCTGCACGCCTTCACCTTGTACCCAGAGAATGACAGTACGTGATCTCAGCATCGCCTCCCTGGGACACCCCCGTCTCTGCTCTCGGTGAACAATCTCTTGCATCTTTTACTACCTGCGACCAGGTGGTTTTATGATTTTCAGAATTCTGCAGCTGGGAGCTTTTCTTACGTAGGACACAAAATCCTGAACTTATCAGACCCGCTGACCCTTACCCCAGTTCCAAGTCGGAAGTGCTCTCTGAATGAAAAATAGTCCCACACCTCGTGATTTTGTACCGTATGTGCATATCTTATTTTCTTATTACTGTTTTGATAATATTCAGAGTAAATTTGGTCACACTTGGCAAAATTTTTATGAACAACTTGCGTTTTACTTGTAAAATTGAGAAATTAGGACTTGAATATCCTAAAAGCTAGTAGTTTCATTTCCCGCCCCCCATCTCAGGATCAGTATTTTTTTCCAAAAGGAAGAAATGAGTTATTATATAAAAGTGTACTGTTGTATGTTAGTTCAGGGACGGTGTTGATATGCAGTTGACTAGACACATGTTGTGATTTTTTTTTTCAATGCTGATACATTGTAGGAGGTATACAGAAATTTGAGCTAAGCCTTCTTTGGATTTCCTTTTTTTTTTTTTTTTTAAGATTTTTATTTTTAAGTAATCTATAGACCCAATGTGGGGCTCGAACTCCCAACCCTGAGATCAAGATTTTCATGCTTCACTGACTAAGCCAGGCACCCCTGTTCTCTAGTTCCAAAAGTATTTATTTCTGCACAGTCCCTAGGTGTCAGGCAAGGTTCCTAATAATTCTCGACTTGTTACGTGACTGTATGTTTTGGGGCTAAAGTAACAAAAATCCTAAAAACCCTCCTACAATTATGGTTTTCCTGTATGTGTAGCAGGAGCACTTACTCTGTTTTCTGCATAATTTCCTGGGTTTTCCAGGTTCAACTCACTTTTGCTGAGCCTCTACTGACATTTACGAGCCAACAGAGATGCTCAGGACCTCCCGTTCATTACCTTGAACACCCCCCACCCTGCAAAGAAGGCATGAGATCACGTTACCCAAGTCTGATCCTTTGAAACGCTTACCAGCAATGTGCTGGGAGAAAGGAGTGGGTGCTTTTTTTGGGGGGGGTTTAAGAATAACTATGGTTTTGTCCATGGCTGACCAAATAAATAGGTGCTTTTTTTTTTTTTAACTTATTTTTAGAATCCTATAATTTTTATACTTGCAAAGGGATCTTGCCTGGGGTCTAGCTAGTGAATTAGTCAACAAATAATATCTGGGAGGTTCTTAGGTGATGCACGCCAAGCTAGGCACAGGGGATCCAGCTGTGAGCATAGCCCAGCAGGGACTGTGTTATAATCTCCTGTCTTTGAGGGGACTATAGGTTAAACCCCTTCCTGTTGTTTTATTTTTACCACTGTGGATTTAGCCCCAATGAGATAAAGGGACTCAGTTAAGGACACACAGGAGAGCGGGCTGCCTTGGAATTTTGAACCCCGTGACTAGGTCAATGTTCTTTCCCTGACAACAAGTATTTCCCGAATTTGCTAGATTGCAAAGCTGCTTCAACTGCTTTTAATAACACCCATTCCTGCACCCCATCCCAAACCTCGGGAGTCAGAACCCAAGGATGAGGTCTGGAAATCTTCACTTGTCATCCAACCAACACCCCAGGTCAGTCTCCTGTTCAGATAAGTTTGAGAAACACTCTCTTATTGCTGGCTGTCCTTTTTTTCATATTAAAAAAAATTAATCTGAGGCAGATGAACCTTCAAGGATCTTTCCCTTTTGTCTTGTCTCATCTTTTAGTCTTACACAGGAGATGGGATCATCTGATTTAAAATGGACTGGTTTAGAAAGTGTGTTGGCAAATGGTGTTGGTAAGTTTTCCAAGTAAAGCAAAACATGAAGTAAAAAATTGCATGATTAAGGAGCAGACAACTCATATTGCTTTTAGGAACCCTTAGCAAAACATTTGATGGAGGGGCATTTTTTTAGAGATAGCATGATTTCATCTGAATCTAATGCCAAGTCTATGTATTTCTAAAAAGGTTCCTGCACTAAATGATTGGGGCACAGATAAATATATGTGAATTGTCGGAATCTTATTTTGCAAGTGTCTCATTTTGTCACAAAATGAATACAGCTCTTCAGTGATTTGAACGAAATTCACATTAAGGAGGGATATAGCTGTACTGTCTGAGGACATTAACCAAGGAAATTGTCTTATCCGTAGAACAGGATGTTCCTTTCTCTGCTTGGCCCTCTTTCATTCCTGGTGGTGCATCTTCATGAATATGTATAGAAATTTTAGATATCAGGGTGTCCTTCTGTAATGCCTTGGAAACCGAAACATTTATTTGAGCTGGTCTGCAGTGTTGGCCGGCTAGGATATTTGATGTGTGCCCAGGGGGTGCCTTTTGTATGGACGATACTGTGAACAACGCCCCCTACAGTTGTTTATCAAAGTGACCCCTCAAGCAGGTGTCATTTGATGTGGGGATTTCTTGATTGTCTAGGATTTATCAATATTTAGTACGTGCGAAGCATTGATCACCTCATATCCATGTATAAAATAATGGAAAGAGAATCCTAAGGTCTTTTTTTTTTTTTTTTTTTAGATTTTATTTATTTGAGAGATAGAGAGAGAGAGTGCACATGAGGTGGGGAAGGGGCAGAGGGAGAGGGAAAAGTAGACTCCCCGCTGAGGAAGGCACTTGACATGGCAGGGTTTGATCCCAGGACCCTGGGGTCATGCCTTAGGTGAAGGCAGATGCTTAGCCGACTGAGCCACCCAGGCGCTGCAGAGAATCCTTGTATCTTATTTCTTTGCCATCCTTCTCCATGGTGTCTACAACAGCAGAAGTCAGTTTTCAGGTTATTCAGGATTGAATCGCCCACAGTTATGATCTAGCCAAGCAGTTTTATACTGTGTTTCTTTCTCACCGTCTCTACTTTAATCCTGTATTTGGAATATTCTTTTTCATCTTCACAGATTGCCTAAAATTCTTCTTTTTTCCATGGTACTGTTCTTTGCTCTGTAGAAAGGAAATGACATCATCACCGGTCATGGCTAAGAAGCCGTTGATTTTTGTTTATAGCTTGTAGTTTTAGCAGATCTCTCCCATCACTTTGTATGACTGTGTGTTCTTACACTGGCCAATTATATATATAATATATATAATAAATTCAGAGATCAGGGACTGAATTTAATTGTTTTTTCTTCGATAGTGTTTTCAATAGCCCTTCGTGCTTAATAAACCCATTCCTTAATGATCTCTCATCCATTGATTTATTTATTTATTCATTTACCAGGCACCTCTTACTTGCCACACACTTTATTAGGTGCCAGGGACATGGTGGATAAGAAAGAAAAAAATCCCAGACTATATGAAGTTAAAAAAAAAACAAAAACCCATGCCCCTCCCCAGTGTATCCTTCCTCCTGTCTGAGGTCCTTGGCCATCTGCTGGCCTCTCTCCACCTTTCAGAATCCTCTTATTATATTTGTTTTATTTATAATGTCCTGCTTTCTTCTCCATACTTACTGAGAGGAATAGAAAAGGCACCTCTACCCCATCTTTCTGGAAGTGGAAGTCCCTTGTTTGGGTTTCGAGATCCAGGTAATGCTAGCTTCTTATAAGGAGTGGGAATTACTTTCTCTTTTTTCTTCTCTGGAAGACTGTGTTTCAGATGACATTCTCCTTCCTTAAATATTTGTTGGAAATTGCCAGTAAAGCCATTTGGGCCTGAAGTGTGTGTTTAGGGTTTTTAAAATCCATTTTAATTAAATTCTCAAATTCGTGAGCGTTAAGTCGCACAAAATAAACTCTCACCATGTTTATGTAGAAAATATCTTCCCCCAAATTTTCACTATAAACTACTAAGAGGATAGTGCCAACGTGTATCCTTGCAATAAATTCCTTTCCCCTCTTACATGGCCAAAAAAGGAAACACCCTGACTAATGCAGGTACCACCCAGAAAATGGAGAGACATTTATACTTGCAGAAAATCCCTTTTCAACAAACTTTCATGAAGAGTGTGTTCCTTTTTCTTTCCTAAGGTATCTGAAGCCTGATTTCAGAGGTCCGAGTTAGAGGCATTCTGAATTCTTCTCAACACACCTGTTTCCAGTATGAACCAAGATGCTCCCCACAGTGACAGCTGAAAAAGTGTTGTTATACGACTCAGAATGTGTCACCTGAAATAGAATATAAACCACCCACTTTTCAGGAGTTCTTGTGCGCCAGTGCCAGAGAGGGAAGAGAGGGAGAACAAGCAAGATTTTTAGAACTGCTTGAGATTCAGAATTCTCCTTCCAGCCTTAAGATTTTCTGTACAGCACTTGGCAGCAGAGTAGCATGAAGTTATATGATTTCCATGATTTTTGCATATATTTTGGGAAGATGAGATTCATTAGCATTTTGCAGTTTTTAATCCATGTTCCTGAAAGCTGTGTAGACAGGAAAAAAGGTGACACGTGTGGTTTTGGCTCCCTCTGCTGGCCATTCTTGGGTACTTTAAATTTTACCCAGAGAACAAAACCAATATGCCATTCCCAAAACAAATTTGGGGTTTTTTCCCCTCAAAATTTTACCCAACATTTTAGTTTAACATTTCCAAATCTACGACAGACCTTTAGGTTTGCCAAATATATTTTGTTTTGGTACTTTTTTTTTTTTTTTTTTTGCTTCAGAAAATGATCCATTTAGCAGAAGAAGAGTTTAGAAAATATTGCAGGTAGGGGCACCTGGGTGGCTCAGTGTGTTAAAGCCTCTGCCTTCGGCAGGTCATGATCTCAGGGT